TGTCTGGTTGTTTCCGAAGATTCCTTGTATGTCAGTTGAGACGTCATATGTCTCCTTGATTTTTATTTGCACTTTGAAGGTCGTTAAAACTATAATTGATTTTAAACTTTAAACTTTACATCACGGCCAAAAAATTTCGCACAGTAAATATTTGACTAACCAATAATGGATATAGTATCTCTCCCGTGATACACTTTTTGACAGGTAGAATGTTCTAGAAATTTCACATAATATATTGAAAGAACGAGAACTTTCATTTAATCCGAAAAAAGAGTTTAAAAAGGCAAGGAACAAAAACGGATCAGATTTACCGTTTGTACTATAACAATTCCTTAGGTTACTTTCTTCTTTCTTAGCTTTTGGTAAAAAAAAAAAAAAATGAGTAACTGGAAGAATGTGAATAATTGGTAAGAATCAAGATTTTAAATACTCGGTCAAAATTTTAAAGCAGTTTTGAAGAAAATATTTATCAACCTGTTATGTTCTTACTTTTAGGCATTGGTAAGTGTACTCAAAATAGAATAATTTACGTAAATGATAAATGTTCAAGTTATTTATGAAAAAAAAGAAGTCCGAAAATAAGTAATCCATGAATATATTACTATATAGGACCAGTAAAAATTGTTTGAGCTGGTCAAAAGAATATTTGAAGGAGAAATTGACTAATCTTACAGTTGAAAATAATGGTATCAATGTTCAAACAAATGATTTGATAGAATGTTCAGGTGATGCCGAATTAAATCAAAGAAAAGGGAAATTGATCCCTATTATTGATTTAATGTTAGAATTAACTTGGTCAGGTAAGGTAAAAAAAAAAAAAGATGAAATCAAAATAAATCTTATTTTTTTTAATTTCAACCTAATTGATTATCATTGATTTTAGGCAATATTCCTGATGGTATTGAAGCTAAAGGCACGATTAAAATTCCTGAATTGGAGGCTGGATCAGAAGAAGACTGTCAGGTAAATGAGAATAAGGCTTGCCATAGAGAGATATATATTGATATATATACAAATATAACCTATCTTACAATATCATGTACTTGCCGTAGTTCGAGATTACAGTTGAGGAGGAAAATGACACGAAAATTCCAATTAAGAAAATCGTACGCGAGCATTTGGTTCCTTTGTTGAAAGAAAATCTTAAGAATCTCGGGAAAGATATGGTTGAGAGTACGTCAAAAAATTTTTTTAAAAAAAAAAAAATTTTTTTGGTTTCACTTTCAAAAATGAGAATGTGATACCCAGAGCTAATTCGCTTTTAATATCTTTTAGCTCATAGTAAAGATGTTAAGATTGAATCTTCTCAGCTTGGACCTGCGACTCCTCCAAGGGCAGTTACACCAATTGACCCTACTCAAATATCAACCCCCCCTCGGTCCGTAACACCAGTTGCATTGGGATCGGATGTTGGCAAATCCGCAACTCCGAATATCATTAATACAACCAGCATTACTGAAATAGTTGAATTACAAACTTCAGCGGAGCAAGTTTATGAAACGTTGTTTGACCCTGGTCGTGTTGCAGCTTGGACAAGATCTAGACCGGACATATTTAGACATATTGGAAGTACTTTTAGCTTATTCGAGGGAAATGTTACAGGAAATATCTTGGAATTAGTAAGTTAAGGTCCTTAAAAAGATATTCAATAATGTACGTTAAAATGATTGATTTATCTTTATTTATATCTTTTCTATGAAGGTTCCAAATGAAAAGATTGTACAGACATGGCGTCTTAAAACTTGGCCAGAAGGTATCATTATTACCTTCTTATAAACTTTATTAAGTAATCCTACTTTACCTCAACTAAACCATCAATTTATTATTTTAGGTCATTTCTCTACTGTTACTATGAGATTAGAACAAACTACCGATTACACTCGTGTTCACATTACGCAAGAAGGAGTTCCCGTTGGAGAAGTAGACTCCGTTCGCAATAACTGGCAATCATACTATTGGAATCCCATTAAAAGTGTTTTCGGGTATGGATCAATATCATCAATTCCACAAAATTCCAAGCCTCGTAAAAATAAAAATAAACGGGGTAGTGGTGAGAAAAATAATAGTTCGGGTGGCGGTGGTAATGGTAGTATTGTATTTACGGTAGCCATTGTACTGACCGCTATTGTTTTGGGATACGCGTTTCTATCACGTTCTTCTAATATGTAGATTTGGTGCGCTTTTATAATGCTATAAAGAACTTTTTCTTAATCTATCTGAAAGGGCGAAGGAAGGAGGAACTCATAAGTTTATGTTTGCAATTACGTTTATGGTAACCAATTGTAAAAAAAAACGACGGTAAAATTTCATTTTTTTTCGGATCTCATCCTCTCGCTTCTTTGCAATTTTTTTTTTTTTTTCATATTTTTTTATTTTTGCATCAGTAGCTCATTATTAATTATTATACCCTTCATTAAACAATATTTCATTAAATTTTTTTTTTTTTTTTGTTACAATTAGAAATTCTTTGAAATTTTTATTAAATAAGTTTCTGAACAATTAATAAAAATAGACAAGAGCTCGGCATAATATTTATAAACAATTATTTGGTGATATATAATTTAAAACTAAATTTACAACAGGTTATTAAGTAGTTATCTTTATTAAGACATCAAGAAAACCTTATTTTTTTTATTAAAATAAATTTGTACTCATATTAAATATTGATTGGATTATTGATGTGAAGTAACAAATTCCTATAATAGAAAATACAATATAAATCAGGACATTAGAAATTTGCGATACGGTTTACAAAGTATAAAGTATGTACTTACTTGAATGGCCTCTTGAGTAACGCGTTTGAATTTTTGTACTTCCTCCCAACAATCAAGAGTTCGTGAACTATTATTTCTATAAAAAAAAAAAGAAAGAATTGTTATTCAAAGTCTTTAATATAATCGATAAAAGATGTAAACATTCAAATTGTATAAATTACTGATAACAAGAAATGACAGCTCGTTGTTGTTCGATTACTTCGGATGAAACTTTATTTTCATACTTCCTAAAAAAATAAATTTGACAAATTTTTTTTTAATCTTACAAAATCATATTTACGGCTTAATATCAAAGAATTGAAAGAAACAATACCTTTGAATTCTATCAATCAATTCATTTGTATCCAGTTCAGTAGCGACAGCATTAGCACCACTATCTCCAAGTATAGCTCTTTGTTTAAAAAGTTCCTCTTGAGCACGTTTTGCAACTTCATCCTCTCTTTCACGAATTCGTCTTAATTCATTCTCTACACGCACTTTAATTATATTTTCTAATTCTTCAGGAAGTACTTGGCCACCAACAGGTGGAATATCTGAAGGGTAGGTTGATTCATTTTTGGCATTTTTCTATCTCGATATAATAAAGGTTTAAGTTGAAGTTTAAAAAACTGACTGAAACTTGAGAATTTAAATCGAACAAAAAAAAAATTTTTACCATTCGTTCCTTCTCGAGTTGTAATTGATCAACTAGACCATGAGAAAACTATATTTAAAAGATTTTTAATATAAATGTCTAATGATTCGAGCATGAAATCTTTTTACTTACTCTAATATTAGGCTCGTTATAAATTATTATGGGTGTTTCAAGTGATTGTTTAGCTCCCATGTCCTAAGTAAAAATGATTATAAAATATACATGAAGAAAAATGAATTGATCTTTTTAGACACGAAAATATTCTGCTATCTGGCGATCATCTTACATGTCATTACTAAAAATGGATATCAACTTTGAAGATTAACTATAAGAAATTAATGTTAAAAATTATTAACGTTAACAATTTTTTTTTGATTTATAACAAAAATTGCATGCTAATTGATTAAAAAAATTAAAGTTTTAAGTAAATTACCTAATTTTATGATATATTTAAAGTTTTTTTTTATAAATTAAAGTATATATAATATGGTGCGGGAAACCTATACTCGACAATCACGTGACGATGTTTCAATTTTCTGGCGCAAGTTTCATATCACGTGATCAGGAATTGTCCAATAAAAAACGCGAATTTTTACATGTTACACTGTTCATTTTACGTCAAAACGAACTTTTTACTCATTTGAATCTCTTCAATATTTGAATTATATTTTATTGTAATGCTAAAAACACATTCATTTAATATTAATTAAGAAAATCATTAATGAAGGTGAATTATGAATAAACAAAACCAAAATTTATTAATTCATTAATCCATTAATCTTTCAATGTTTTCAGGTAATTGATGATGCGATTTGTATTTATTAACAGTCCACTCAGCAGTTCTACCCTCCAATCCTTTATTGTACGCATCCATATATCTTCACGACTTGCATGCAAACTTGCGAATAGTTGTAATGAGGATGCTAACAAGAACTTCCAGGACCTTTCTCATTAAATCTGCAAAATTATAACTGCATATTCGTCTGGTCTCTCATTTTGCAAAACCTCAGTATCACTCTATAAAGTTGCATTTACAATAGAATTTTGGGCAACGTTCAAAAATATGGCCCTTTTCAATAATTGCCTTTTCTAATATTAATCTTTGTTCGCAAAAATCTGGTTGTAGTGATATAATCCTTCGTGCACAAAAGTTTATTCTTTCTGGATTAACATCATCATTTTTTCTAGAGCACTGTTCACACATTAGGCGGATTCCCTCTGTTGGCCAAAGGTTTCATTCTTTAAGCACTTACTTAATATTCTTTAGTTATTCTTTTAATTTATGATTATTCAGAAATATTATAGATTGTACACATCTTTCACTGTGCTTATTAATATATTAACCATCATGCATCTTAGACTATATTCCTCTAGGACTTAAATTTATTCTTAATGCAATAAGTGTATCAGCAGCCATTGCATTATAGTTTGTTGATTGATCAAAATAAAAAATACCAATATATCTATAATGTAATAACTTGAATATTGGAATTGCTTAATGTATCAGCTAAAGTAAACAAGAAAAAAATTTAATTTTTTAAATTTTACCATTCAATGAATAAGAAAAAATTTTTAATAACCTGGTCTAGCATATGTTCTGATTTCTAATACCTATCTGTTTGTATGGATCGAAGAACAAAAACTTTTTTATTTCCAATATGTGGATTTGTTTACAATTATTTATTAAATAACTGTAATAATCTATGTATGAACAAAGAAAAACTAAAACTATAATTGAGCATCTAATATATTTTGAGCATAAAAATATTCTCATCCTCTTTTATCTAAATTTTCCACTGCCCATTATTCGCATAAAAGTAGCATTCGTCATGTATTACTTGTACTAATTCCTTTTCTCCCAATTTAAGTGAAGGTTCTAAAATAATATCTAACATATCACCATCAAAGTCTTTCATAGACTTTCTATATCCAAACATTCTCTTTAACCACTCCTTTCTATATGTCACCACATTTGACCTTCCATGTCCATCATAATAAACTCCTTTTTTTTCATCATATTTGAATCTCCACTTATGCATATAATTTTAACATGTTTTTTCACAAATTGTGCTTTTTTTGATATGTCCTGTCAACTTTAAAAATACTGTTTCTTCAATATAAATTTTTAAGTTTTTTGGAGAACATGACTCCAGTGCTTGCTATCATAACCATATAAAGCATTCTTCCTTAAAATCCTCATCATCTACCAAGCTTTCTAATTTTGTATGTTTTCCTTGATGATAGACAAGAAGCTCTCCTATTTGTAAAAAATAAGTTTTCCATTTCCGGATACATCATGCTATATAGTCACCTTTATTCTATATGATTTGTGCAATATTATTGCTAGCATTTATTTTACTTTCTTTATCTAATAACAACTGAATGAATCTGCATATACTTAGGCATCGTAGATAATCATAGATAAAGATTTTTTTATTATTTTTTGCAGATTTTGATATAATACATTGCTGATCTATTTCTTCTAATTGTGTATATAGATTATCAATGAAAAATAGTGGTTTTTATAAATTGAGATAGAGATGATTGTGACAAAGATGATTGTGATGAAAATGAAGATGATTGTAATAGAGATAATTGTGATTGAAATGATTGTGATAAATATAATATTTCTGAATTTTTAAAAAATGCATCAAGAGTCTTTATTCCTTTTGTCTCATTTTCTAATTTCTGTTTTTCTTTTTCTTTTCTTTATACTGTAATCCTTGAATTTCCTGTATATACTGCTTTGATATGATGATCAGCATCTCATGCTAGTGAAGAGCTTCGATAATAAGCCTCTTCCCTACTTCATCAAATTCTTTTAATTCTTCTCCTGTCTAACTAATAATTTCATCATCTGACTATTCTTCACTTTCTATTCATTCTTCAATAATATCATTTTCCATACATTTTTCATCTTCAACAGCCTCTATTTCTTCTATGATAGTTTCTTCTAAAATAACTTGATCTTGAAATATATAACATCCTTTTTTCCTAGGTATCTTACTAACTTGTTTTTGTCATTTTGTTTTATGTGGCATCAATAAAACTAGATCAAAATTTTCTCATTCATATTGTGATAATTTTCTCATGAATAAGGGGTTTTTCTCATAATCAAATGAATATAATAATTCAGGCTAGCACTAAAATATCATAATTTCAGCCTGAATTATAAAAAATTTTGACCAATAAGATAGCATTCATGTGATTCAATTTGTTTCAAATTTAGGTCGATCATATAAAAATCAGTCAATTTTAAATGCTTATAACTTTTAAGATCTATTTTTAAAAATCTAACCAGTAATTTGATAGTACTTGTCTTGAAGAATAAAACTACCAGTTTATTTTCTTTAAACTTTATTTTTTAAAATTTTATAAGATTTTTAAATACTACAATTTTATTGTTGAATAAATCTTATCAAAAATATAATTTTTTTTTATTTATATAAAATAATTAATAATTTTATAAATAAATAAATATAAAAATTTTCTTTTTTTTAATTTTAATTTGAAATAAGAACTTGTATATTTTTTATGAATAATTCAAATTATAATAACAAATTTAGTTTGGTTTGAATTTAATATAATATTTAAAAAGATAATTTTTGAATATACAACCTTTTTATAATCAAACAACCTGTATAATTAGATATCTCTATATTCTAGACATGAATGCTATAGATATAGACCCGCTGGATCTGCTAGATTCATGAAATTTCAGTACTAAGTACGATCAAGACCATTTCAATGCAACTGGTAAGGAAGCAAGAGCAGCATACAAAGCATACAAAGCATTCTTTTACTAATACTATCAGGACAACCCAGAATAACTACAAACTGTTATGAGAAATTTCTCATAGCACAAGGCAAGTAAGGTAAGCAACATACGTTATTAGAAGAGTAGAAGAGCAACAGAAAAAAGAGTTTGAGTACTGTTACTAGTTTTGTGCTATATTACAAGAGAAGCAATTGAACGTTATTAGTTGAGGCAGAGCTGGCTCGTAGAGACATTACAGGGTTTGTAAAGCAGTAATGGAGAGAGAATAGTTGAAATAATAGAATAAAGTTTAGTAAATAGGAGAGCTGAATCATAGCAAAGCTAGAGAATAGTTCAAATGCGTTAGAGTTAGGACATAGAGCAGAGTCGTAGTAAGAGTTCAGTTATACATAACCTAGTTTAAAAGGCAAATAAGCAAGATATGATACATTTGGGTTAAGTAGAATAGGAGCAATAGAGAGAGAATAGTTCAAATGCTATTGCAGTCTCGCTTTTAACATTTCTTGTCTTATGCTTTTTTTTTAGTTTTATTTTTGACCTTCGTTATTTCAGACTGTGAATGAGCTAGACGTGCGAACAGAACTGAAAAGTGAGTATATTTTGTCTAGGTGAGTTTGTAATTTTTTTGTGCTTTCGCTCTGCCTATAATTATCCACTTATTTCTTACTATCCTTCAAATGGATTCAGATCTCAGATTTTCTGCAGAAGAGACGGTTGCAGTTCAGAATACTTTCAATTGAGAATATAAAGATCGGGGATTGATCAAGACTTTTCTAAAGCACACTACACAATGCTTTCAAAATTGGGATCGTAAAAATTACTATTTTGTGTACTTTGCTTTTATGCAGGCATTAACGTCTGGAAAGTTATCACTTTTCTGCAGAACAGGAAAATATGTGTACGTGGTTTATTGTTGTCTACGAGATCCAGAATTAGGTGGTTATCCTGAATGATCAATGATCACAAAAAATCTGGAGGACATTGATAAAGGGCAGTTAGGACAATTACTGGTCAAGTATGTTGCCTACCTGTATGCTTACATTAAACATTTAACCAAGTGCGATGTATCACTAGAGGAGTTTTTGAATCAGCAAGATTACCAGTTTTAGCTCGGAATTAAGAACTGGATGGATGAACTACAGAAGAAGTGGTCTCATATTGCGTCAAAGGATAAAGTAGGACATGAAACAGAATTTGTTTCAAATTAAAGAATTTATGAAAACTATTTCTGCAAAATCTCAGGAAAATTTTTTTTTGATCAAGAATTCTCTTCGTATGTCATTTTTGCTTTTGATGAAGCCAGGATGCTAACCAAATAAAATTAAGGAAAGGAAACAGCTTTCACATTCCTGCGTCAAACATGTCGTTGCCTACCTATGGCAGCTGACAACGGCTGTATTATTGTAGTTTTAACAGATACAATATTGCAGATCTCAAATTTCTCGCCAGTTAAGGATAAGAAAATATCATTCTGCGTGATCTAACAAGGTTTGGAACTTTTCTTCAGTTTAATTTACTTGAAACAGTAGATGTCAATATCAATATTGCACCTAAAACTATCTGTGAGTCCTAGGATCCTGAATTCTTCTTGCGATATAGACTTTCTCTCTGGTATTCACTAAAAAATACTAAAGATGATAATGACCACCCTATCCTTGAGACACATGAAATTTTGAATATTGTAAAATTGAAATTTGTGGGTGGATTAGATTTTAAAAAATGGTATAAGCCGAAATGAAAAGTTCAGCTAGAGAAAGCACTTGTTGTATTGTTGTGCATGCATTGATATTGTTCTCCAGTCACAGATTGCATCTAATATAGTTATATTATACATACGCTTTTATTATTACATTTCAGAGGATCGATATACCATGATCACAAATTATCTTTCTAATCCTACAATGACTGAAGCTGCTACAAAAGTCATGAATTACATGGATGTATTGCAATGGGAACACTTTTTGCTGCCACTATCAATGCTATAAAAGAGGGTGTTGTGGAAGCAGGTTATTGTGAAGAACTTGCTGCACATCTGCTATTGCTTCAGGTATAAGATAAAGCATTACTAGAGACTCAAAAAATGTCACCAACGTCACTAACGTTACCAATGTCACCAGAGGTCAATATATTTTCCAAGTCAATGACACTGGAACAGTTTATCTCTTCACTCCTGGGCAATAATAACTTTGATAAAGTGAAATCAGATATAATTAATATTAAGAGCGAAAATTTACTACTCAATCTAATCATTTTATTCAATGCATTTACATACTAACTAGAATGCAATTAGTTGAATTTTTCTGTCGCTATACTGCAGTGTTATGTAAAAGAAACCAGACTGGTATTGATATAATTCTTCCCTTATTCAGTGGTACTGAAGATAATGATCTTATTCTGGTCAGGTTTTCATATATACTTATTTAGATCAAAAATCATAAAGAAAAAAGGGTAGATAGTAATTTTCCCAACAGTGCTGTATTTATGCTGACCCCTGTATATGCTGGGCTTGAATATGAAAAACTATATTTACCATTTTTATTATTATATATGTCCTTGGGTGTTCCTAATCCTGATTTTCAGATTGTATATTCAGGAATGGAACTTCGAGAAGATGAAGAAAAGCTTGCATATGGAAATGTAAGATCAAGTAAGAAAAAAAGAAAAGGTAAGGATAAAGATTATGGGAAATCCAAAGATGAGTATGTGGAATCAAATAAAAATAGAATACGTCGAATAAGATACCAAATATTATTGGCAATATTTGGCATTTCTGATAATATTTTTGGATGTATCAATGCAAAAAAAAGTCAGCTATTGGTGAATTTGACTGATGCATGGCCTGATCCTATTAAGTTATATACAAATGAAGAGGATGTATAGAAGGTTAAATGGATAGCACCTTTAGTATATAGTCAACTAGAATAAAAAGTAATATTCTTATACTAACTACAAGCCAGGCAGTTGTCAAGAGTTCAGTATAGACCAGTCAAATAAAAACAACTTAAATATCTATATTTTAAATTGTGCTGAGACTGTATGACATATAACAGTTTAACAAGACTGTCTGACAGCTATGTTTTATTAATAAAATCTAACATGAAATTTGACTTCATTATTTTCAAGTAACAGTTCACAATATTATTTCATTAATATTAATCTTATAAGATTAAGATAGAGTCATTTTTAATATTTTTCTCTTCTCAATTGTAAATGGTTTTGATTTTTTGGTATATGTTTTTCTAGCCTGTAGTTATGCATAATCTGATCTCATGAGTAATATTTTATTGCTATTTTGAAACACTGCATTTGTAAAGAATTTGATTTTGTTCAATAGAATCTCTTGATTTATTTAGCACATTCTTGTATGTATACTAACCATACCTGTGTAATTAATCTCATGTTGACTTAATAGACATTCATGATGTATTTATGGAACAAAAATGACAACATGATATAAAAATTAATATATAGGAATACCTATATATGAAAAATTATAATTATAATGATTTGACTGAATATGAAAATGCCATGCATTTTCTAGAGATAGGTTGTAATTGTGATTGCTCTCAAAAGATTCTGAGAAAAAAATTTGCTAAGTTACGTGAGGCATTTCAAGCTTTCTCTAAACCTGAGCAAAATATATTTTTAATGGTCCAGCTAAAGACAATGAATGGCAGAAAAATAACTGCCAGTTGACGTCTTAAAAAGAAAATGCGTAAAAATAAAAGAATGTTTTATTATTGAGATCGCAATATGCCACTTTATTAGAAAATGTATCTCAATATGTTGGAAATTGGTCACAATCACCTTAAAAATAAAAGAAATCATCTGGCAACAAATAGTATAATACCGTGTGTTCATAGTAATATCAAATAAATGCTGCGATAAAAAACTAAAATAACTATTGATATGCCATATAGTACTACATACAGTATTTTCAATCTTAATCAAAAATATTAGATTAGCTCGAATAGTACCTCAAGAATACTGTATAAGGGTAAAGTACTATACTAGGGGTATATCAAAAAGGAGGTACTAATTAGTTTAGATAATCTACCATAAAAAAAAAAAAAAATAAAGAAAAATAAAAAAAGGATTTTCTTTCTTAATATTTTAAGTTTAGAAATTCGAAATAAATAATTCTTTTTTAAAAAATGACTTTAATACTTTATTTTAAACATTCAAATGAATTTTTTAATATTAAATAATATTATTTTAATATTAAAATTAACAAAAACTAATGCTAAAAAAACTATTAAAAGTATATTTTAAAAATTCGTTTTCTATATTTTAACAATTCATGATTCAAATGATCAAATGATTATCATTGAAATTTTTTGTTAAATAAGATATGCAATTTTTTTATTCATAACTTTTTTCGCGTATTTTTTTTAACTTTTTACAACTTACATAACTTAAATAACTTAAATTTTCTTTTTTTAATAGGTCTGTGTATAAATAAAAGAACAAATTGTGCAACTGTAATAGAAAAGGCAATGGAATGCGCGTGAAAAAATAGCAGTTATTTTATATTATGAAAATGGTCATAGCAAAAACAAGACTGCAGCTAAATTTAATATTGAAATAAAGCAACTTCAGGACTGAATATCTAAAAAACCACAACTTTTAAAAGTTCAACCAAGTTTAAAATGGTTAAATAAAGGTTCACCTCTAAAATATTCTGCTTTAAAAACTGCTTTAGTTGAATGGATAAAAAAAAGAAGAAATAATCAACAAACAGTTTTGTGAAGTATAATATAATTGAAAGACAAAGCATTTGCACAATAAAGTCAATGGCAAGCTATATGTTCTAATATTCAATTTTTTGCTTTTAGTAACAAATAGGTGGATGGTTTAATGAGTCACAATAATCTAAGTAATCATCATTGTACTACTATTGCATAATGTTTACCAGATGATTTAATTAAAAAGCAACAGAAATTTTTGGCATTTATTATGTATAGACGCATTCAGCATGATTATCCTTTAGCATTAATTGGCAATATGAATGAAACTCCAATAACATTTGATTTGTCAAGTAATATTACTATTGATGAGACAAGAACGTGATCTGTTAGCATTCGTGTAATAGAATATGAAAAAACTAATTTTACAGTAGTTTTAACTTGTATGACTGATGGAACTAAACTTTCTTCTCTTGTAATTTTCAAACTTAAAAAAGTTTCGCAAGGTAATTTTTCACAAGAAGTTATTGTTCAAGCTAATCCAACTAGATGGATAAATAAAAATGAAATGCTTTATTAGATTGAAAATGTTTAGATAAAACGTGCAAGACTTTCAAATCCACAATCATTGCTAGTTTTGAATTCATTTTCTGCACATCTTGTTAATTCTGTAAGAAGGCGTTTTGGCGAAAAAAATACTAATCTTACTGTTATTCCTGAAGAATTAACATCTCGTCTACAACCTTTGGATGTTTTAGTAAATTATTTAAACCAAAAGTAAGAAATTTAATATTTGTATATTGTATATATTAATTTTTAAAAAATAAATTTAATAATTATTTTATTTTTTATTTTATTTTATAGATGTAACAAAATTACAATAATTGGATAGCTGATTCTGTAAAGGAATTAACATCTACTAGTAATATTAAAAGATCTTCCTATAAAACTGTAGTAAATTGGGTTAATAATTCATGGAATGCTGTTGATATTAATTTAATTCAACAATCTTTTAAATGTTGTAGCATCTCTAATAAACATGATAGAACAGAAGATGAATTAATCTTTGATTATAATTGTCTTGAACAATTAAATCGATTAGATAATAGAATATAAATGATAATGAAAATCATAAAGTAAATATTGAAAAGAATGATTATTATGATAAATAAATAGTAAATCATACTAATGTATAGGATGATTAGTGATTTTGATTGTATAACTAAATTGAAAGGTTATTTTTATAATCAATTTAATAAATATCTTTTATATAATCAAATATTTATTTTAAAAGTTTATTTCTAATTAAAATATCAAGTAAAATAAATTTAAATGGTTATTTTGATTAATACCGATATATTTTTCAAAAAGATCAACATTTGTAATTAAATAGTATCTTAATACTAATTAAGGGGGATATTTTTTTTAGAAGATACTTTATGCAGTGTTATACAGTAATTATTACTACCGCCATGAAGAATTTTCTCGAAAATTATGCTGAAATATATAGATTACCAAGTCCTAGTAAAAACATCAATCGAATTACTCAATTACTTACACTTTTGCCAACAGAAACGAGTTATAAATTGGTCTATCATAATTTTATTGCAGATCTTGAAAATGATAGCATATTGAAATTGTTAAAATACAACGCGTTCTGCAAGTTTTGACACTAATTAACGTCTTATATTCAAATCATGAGTCTAAGAATGGATTTATATGACATGTGTTAACATTTTCAGAATAGCTTACAGTATAATGTTTGTAAGGAAAAAGAAGTAAGAGACTTACTAAAAAAATTTAAAGAATATCTAGTTAAAGCTAAGTTAGAGAGAAACTATTACAACAAAAATACAAAATTAGCAGAACAACAGAGAAAATTAGTAGATGAGCATTTTAGAACAAGAGGTAAAGCTGATTATTATAGTGTTAATGTGACTGCTCATTACAGTTATGATTAAACACAAAACATTTACATACTCCATTCTGATTAATAAGTAAGTAAGATTTATTATCTTAATCTGCGTAAAATGTATTTATTTGGTATTCAAGATGAAGTAATACGTGAACAAATTAATGATATTTTCAATGAAGATGAAATAATAAGGAAAGGTTCTAATGGCATACTGAGTATGGTATTTAATGGAATAAAGAAATTGAATAAAAGCGAAAAACGTCTAAAAATTACTTGTGATAATGCAAGAGTCAGAATAAAGATAATGCTATTTTTTAATTTTATCTATATTTAATAATTTGCAGTTATTATGAAAGTGTTGAACTTAATTTTATGGTATCTGACATACTAAATTTAAGTGTAATTGTAGTTTTAGACTAATTAAGAAACTTACTGAAAAATAACTGTGGATTATGTAGATCATATTATTAAAGTTGTAAAAAGATTGAATACAATGAGATTAAACAAAACTCAGCGTTATGGCAATAGAAAAAGCTTTTAATACTTAGATCTTAATTCTGTGTTAGAAATTTTTTTTAAAAAATTGAGTGGTTTACAAAAATATCAGCATTTTATTTTTAAGACAGCTAATCCTAAAGTTGTTAAAGCTCAGCTAGTTACTAATGGTATTTTTACTAAATTTAATTTATTAAAAACCAGAAAAGTAAACGTTTTTGAAATTACCAAAGAAATTAAATCATTTTCTATCCTAGTACTAACCCCTTCTCTTTTGGATTATAAAAGACAAGAATATCTTTATTATAATATTCGCCTATTTGTTAGAGATGAATTCAAAGATATTACTTGTCCAAGCTTAATCTATACTAGCAATAAATAAAATTATTAAAAATAATTATATACTTAATATTTCCTTATAAAAAGGATATAAGTATATTAAAGAATAAATAAAATAAAAAAAAATTATGATAATAGAAAAATTATTAAAAATAAGAAAAGACATTGATTGTCTAAAATTTCACACAAAAATGTGATTAGATCATTTAGAAACTCTTGAAAGCTATCATAAAAATGGTAAACATGCAAGTTTTTTTAATAAAGAAAAATCTGCTATTAACAATTTTTGATTTAATGAACATTATTGTAAAGGTATTATTGAGATATTTGACTTGTATAAGGGATTAGAATAGCATATTAAATTATTATAAAAGGAACTTAAAGAAGCTTAAAGTGAAAGTCAAACTCATATTAAAGTTATATGAGATGCTTATGAATAAGGGAAA